CACAGAGGTGATACTTAGAAAATGAAAAACATTGACATCATATCACATATAGTAATTATGACGTCGGTGCCTTTAACAAATTGCCTTAGCAGACGTCTTTGTCTGTGTAATCAAAAGGACAATTAAAATCATTGGAATAAATCAAATGACCATCACCTTTTAAGTTATATTGTTTTATTAGTTTATTACAGTCTCATCAATGTACACAACATATAAAATACAATATAAATGCACATTGCCAATCTATAAGATTTACAAGAGACTAAAGGTTGACTTACTATTTACATATAAAATTCTAAAAATCTAAAATACCCTTGCTAATTTAAACCAGAGTTGTGAAGAACATATGATAAAATGAATCTACTGATGTAATTTAAAATATTGAGGTAGCAAAGTACTTCCAAAAATTCTATATAGAAATTATGTTGTGGTTAAATTTAATCAAAATCCGGTTTAGAAGATTATTAGCAAAGGTATTTTCTAAATAGTACATGTATATCTAAGAACACATAAAAGTTATTTAAAATAATGTCAGTTGTATAAAATTAGTTTTCTTCTATTCAATATGTTAAAACAGGTTTTGGCAGTTAAAAATACAATGTCTGCATTGGAGAGAATATATCCTACTTTATCAATGTCTGAGAGGGCATCAAAACCATCGTTTAGCATTTGTGCTTCTCGAATCAAGTCGTTACGAATGGAATCATATAGAGGGCAATATAATAATACATGCTTTTCATCCTCTACAATAGTTTGACAGTGGGAGCACAATCGTTGTTCCACTGGCAAACCATTGTAGCGTCCTAACTCTATACCAATTGGAGCTGTGCCACTGCGAAATTTAGCTAAGGCACCCCTGTATGACCTGTTCACTGTTATAACCACTTCTAGTAGGGACTTTAATAATAGAATAGAAGACAGGGAACTTGCAGCAACCTCAACAACTTTCAGTTTTTTTTCAGTACAACTTTGTCTAAGGGGATGTCTCTAAAAAAGGAGTCATTATTATAGTGAAGAGACTAACACTGCATTATCTAAATGGAATTGATAAGACTCAATTGGACTACAGCTTTATTGTTTTAACAAAAACATCTCTTACCTTCTAACTCAAAACTTAACCTGAAAATAGAGTTAAATACAGTTTTCAAATCATTAATTTTTATCAGCCCTAGAACTACTTGTAAGCGTTTATATAACTAAACATGTATTATAATTTTGTTGAAATTATTTATACTGTTACTAATGAAATTGAAACCTGGATAAATTCATCAATACATATTTGGCTTCAGGGTTTATAAACCCCCACCTAAATGTTAAAACATTGATCTATCATTTTATTTCTCGAACTTATTTCGAAAAGAATACCTCCCAGTAAGATGTTTTTTCTCAAAAATATGATTAATGAAGTTAGAAGGTTATGTTGATAAACTTCAGAACTTAAAATTATGACAGCTTCCATCCTCAGAAAGTTTTAAAACTTATTTATATTAATTATTAATATATTGTTCTTGTTATTAGTACTTCATATTAAACACTTGACCAGTTATATGATAGATATTGTTTATGTGCCCCACTCATGCAATCCTGCCTGTCTCCATTGCACAAACATAAATGCATAAAAAATACAGAATAGTTCCTGCACTTATCGGTGCATTTCAGCATGGTTTTAAGTTATTATTCAATATATTCTATTTCAGTGAATGACCCTTAATAACCACAAAAAATAGTTCCCATTTAACCTGTTTTGTACAAATTGTATGTCTCGCCTATCTTGTCATCTTTTTTTTATTTAAGAATTCTTGTCAATGTGATATTGCAGTGAATGTTGATAGATCTTTTTTGTTTTTAATAATTAATTTAAACGTGTTAGACATGGTTGTCCCTGACTTTTCAAATTCATATGTCGCCACATTTAGAAGGTCTGACTTTTTCCATTCATATATCTCCACATTTAGATGCATTTATTATATTGTTCCTTCACTCTTACCGAAGCTGTGAATTGTTCCTATAATTTGATTAAGATTTACAAGTACATTTGTATAAAGCAAATATGAAAAAAAAAACAACAAATATAACCTTCAGAGTAAAATAAGTTTGATAATATAACCTTTTCTCCTTTAACCTTATATATAATTTTAATTCATACATGTAATTTAAAAAAAAAAAAACAGTTTTTCTTTTTGTTATTAACATTTGATATCGTAAGACATAACGTTAGTTTAAGTATAGGTTATATGTTATATACCGAGTTTTAAGCTATTTTGTTTATTTTGAACTGAAATAACTTAAACTTATTATAATAATTATATTCTATCAAGATCTAGCTTTTTCTTGTGTTTTTTTTAAATGAAAACTTATAATTAATTTTTCGAGCGAACGAAGTGAAGCGAGAAAATTAGTTTCTTAAAACTTTGTATATAACCTAAAACCGACTTACAGTAAGACCGCGCTTTCAAATCAAGTGCATTATTCAATAGGCTGGCATATTTAACGCATGAATTTAATACAAACCGTTGAGTTACAGCACTGTATGGTAAATATTTCGGCAAAAATTAAACAAAATAGAGCAATTTCATTGGCAGACAAACGTTGGCGAACTGTAGATTAGATTTTTAGTATTAATTAACGCAATGAAAATTATCAAAGGGTAATTACAACTTAGAGATAACATTGTTAGATAATGTGATACTTGGGCATATCGGTGACTAATACAACCATGTTGTTTATTCATGCATTTTCCATAACAGTAAATTGCAATATTTACCACAGCAGCCTTGTGAGTGTTTACCCACTAAAGTCACGTGACTGGTTCGTCGATATAATCCGAGCACGATAAACAGAAGTTTATTTATATTTATTTATAGTACGGAAAGTCCATCTTAATACTATATATGTAAATTCAATGTTGCACATCTAAACGGTTGTATGTTTTACTGATAATTGTAAAAGTAATCACATGTAATAAATTTCGCATTAGCTCAATCGGTAAGGTAACATACTTCAAAGGGTTTTTGATGATGATGATGTGTGTTTTTTGTTGTTGTTGTTGTTGTTGTTGTTGTTGTTGATGATGATGATGATGTAATTATGTTGTTTTAAAATCGAAGTATTTTCATCTCATTTATTCCACTATATAATTTTTTTAATTTCTTATTATAAAGGTATGAATATTTTGACAAATTTTAAGAGAGATAAATACAATGTTTTTATGTTCATATGCGTTATCATGTATTTATTTTCTCAAACAGTAACTAATTAAAAAACAAAACTTGAATAAGAAATGAAACAGGTTACACCAGGTTTCGAACCCGCTAGATTAATTCACTTTCATATTGATAAGCAGTCTTACATACAGTGCTATAGTGTCATAAGAAGATAATATGTATTAAAATATAATTTGTTTAACGTTATATGTAATTATTTCGTTAATCAATTGCAACTTACCTATGTTTACCTGACTTTATCTTTTAATGGACTGTGCTTGTATTTTTACAAATGAGGAAAGTTCTGTTTATTGTTCTCGGACTAAAAAGTGTATAAGCTAATAGACAAACTTTCGAAACCGTTCCAGGAAAAAACCAGTACTGAACAATGAGTGTTAATTTTCTTGCGCAAGAAAACAATGACTTCCCCAGACAGGGTTTGAGCCCATGCGGCCAGCGATCATTTGATAACTCTTCGGACGCGTTTACCACTCGGCCATGTCATCACTCATATTATTTATATATTATATAAGAATATCCGATTATATGTAATAATTACAGCACCTGTTCAAGTTGGAATCCAATTTTACAACATATGTATAAAGTAAAACATTGAAAGGCCTTTATCCTTAGAAATGTAACGTCTACAGCTTAGATGTTTAGCATGAAACATTGTCTAGGGAACTTCTTTTCGGTTATTCAAATTATAGCTTTAGGGTCAAAATTGGTCCTTCCCCAGTGTGTCATACATGTAGAATGTACTTTATACATGTAAACAAGTTATGCAATAATGCTTAATAAAATCGACAGCTTGAAGTTAATAAAAAGGTAATGACCCTTATAATGAGAAACGATGACATGATAAAACATGCAGATTTGACCCGAATATATGTATGCCACTATGGCGTTTAATTTGTACCATGTCGCATGTTTGCTCCGCATTGAGCGAGACAAAAACAAGAAATTATGACAAAGTAAATTGTTATACGTTTTCCAAAGACTGCAGGCTAAGAGACACGGATACCAACAAGTGTGACATTATTGTATTTCCCTGTTTTTACCTGGCACCCCTAAATCCTACTCAGAAACAACTCAAACCATAATGCCAAATTGCGATAAGCTATAAATAATACACAATATGTTGAGAAACTTGGTCTACCACTCAGCTAACAAGCCTAACATCCCTGCATATAAATTGTTAATACTTTGAGGTCAATGTTAATACTTTTATTGTTTAAAAATATTAAAATACATTCAAATTTCATTGATTGATACTTAAAGAAGGGGCATTATTGTGTTAATCTCAATTAAGTCGAATTTTAAAGTTGTTCGCAAATTAAGCATTTTTAGCTTAATTAATATCCTTTAATTTCATTTGTTTAAAATGATACGTGTGCTTGTTATTAGAAAGTGAAAGGAACTTACTTTGTCGCCATTGAATATATAATTTTATCAACAACAAAAAAGAGCAAAGACACGTATAGATACTTTATAAAAAAGTTACAAATCAAACACAAAAGACACACTAAAATTCAAGAAGGATTGTCTTTCCCTCATTATGATTTGGCTGATATGTAATTGTTCTTTTTAAACAGTTTTCAAATGTTTTGATGCAGCCATAATTATGCATATTGAATATTAGTTTTATGTAAAAAGGTTTTGTCCCTAGGATTTTGTTGCAATACAGGACTTAAGCAGGCATGAATAATATTTATCTGAATAAATACGACTAATGATTTAATCATTATGTCAAATACAAACAAATACTTTCAAATCTTATTATGATGGAGTTCTGTATTCCTTTTGAAATCTACAATCAACACTAAATATAATTCATGACTCATAAAACGTGAAAACCAACTATATTACCTATATGAAACCAACGGAAACTTTGCATTAGTCCGTATGATTTTACCATATTCACGCAGACATTTAATACATGCTTCGTTTGACACAACAGTTTCTACAATTAAAGGATATTTAAAGCTGTGTATAAGTAGTTCAGTGACGTCAGTACTTAACTCCATTAACTTCATCATTAATTAATTTTATGATATATGCTACTCCATCCATCAAGTTGTCTAAAAAAAGGTTAACGAAAGTCTATGCGTGGACAAAATATGCATGTTATTTAAATCGTTTTCAATGCAAATCATATGCTTTTTATTAACAACTTCTTAAAGTTCCCATTTTTCTCTTTGTTAAAGTTTTTCACTGTATGGCTGTTGTTTGCAGAACGAACATAATCCATTGATACTTTTGTCATTCATGTCACAGTTGGGGAAGCTGCCGTTACTTTTCATAAAGGACAATCCAAAAATACCACGCAGATTCTTGAAAGCGTCTCCTGTCAAATTGTGTGTATTTGACAATTCATGTGCCTCATCGACGTCTATTATTACAAGGGCAGCATTTGCTGGATCTGCATTAAAATGTTATATCTTTATAAGTAAAGAATGAAAAAATACATTTTATGAATATATGCTATAAAAGTATATTTTGTACAGGAAGTAATGAAGAAAATCGATTGATTTTTAGGCAGAAAAAAGATAAATGATAAAAGATAAAACAATAATGAAAATAAGACGTGCTTTTTGCATGTACTTTACAAATGTATATATCACTTTTAAAGTATCTTAATGAAGTGGAGACTTAAGAAATCGCACTAAAATGGGTTACTTTTAATATCTTGCATAGCAGATGCTGCATCTGATGCAATCCTTGTCGCAGCAATACATAGAATGATAAGCATCTTTTTGTCGTCGATTTTGGAAATGTCGTTCAAGGATATGAAGTTCACAGCTCCTAACTTGCTCCTCAATGTAGTTTCCAAAACCGTTTGTATGTCGTTCATTAACTTCCCATCTTGTTTACATATTATCTGTATTGTGGCTAAAATATTTTTTTCAATTGTAAACCATATCATAATTAAAAATTTAATGTTGTGCCTTGCCTGGTTATCATTATTAGAACAATTGTTTGGATACTTACAAAAACAGATATGTTTATCAGGACATTCTTCGCAATGTTTGCTACAGATGCAAGCACCAATTTAAATTCAATTATTATTTCTCAAATAGGAAGCTGTAATTCAAAACAGTTTTAAGTGCTGTTTACGATACTAATTGATTCAAGTATATATATTTAGCAACACAAAATACTTTTAATATCGGTAGAGCAGTTGCAACACATGTGCAATGAAAATCGTGAAGACACTTACTTTGGTTCTACCGGATCTGTTAATGTATCTTAATGTTGTCATTTATGCAAATTCCTACATACAGCGTGTCAACTAATTTCAGACTAGACAATAGCAGGCTAAGTGTACCCGAGCGTGACGAGATGTTGAATTTTATTTTTGGAATTGTTTTGATCTAAAGGATATCTTATGATAAGATTGTGCTTTACTCATCTATTTACTTTTATCCTCATGAGCACATGGTAAAAATGGCCGTTTTAATTGAAAAGCCTCTTGTAACAAGTTCAATCTGCTATGAAACTATGAAAAATTCTTCAATAGTAATCACACTTGGCACACATGTTGACTTGACCTTTGCCTTTGTAACGACATGCTCGGTCTTACATTTCCTGTTACCATGGCAACGAGGGGACATCTCAAAGTTGCCAAAAATCACTATTCTGCGTTGATATTTTCCATCAAAATTGATTTCAAAGAGCTGCCATTTCTCAATGGATTGAGATAGAGTCAAAGGCTTTTCAGTGTTTTTTACACATTACCTTATGATCGACCTGGGGTCATTTTTTAGCCTCTTACGAGTCCAAAATGTTCTTGGCGATGAGGGGGACTACCGCCCCCTTCAAACCCCCCAAACAGAAGGGGGCACATCCCCCTACAGAAGAGGGCACATCCCCCTTCTGGCAACCCCCTGATGTACCTTTTTGATAGGGGCGGCGCCGAAAAAGTGATCATTTTTTAACAACATTTTTTTCACTGTTTGAGGCCTCAAAAAGTGGGGGGGGGGGGTCGAAAAGCCGTCAAAACATGTCTATATCAAGTAAAGGGTTAATCAATGGAAACTGTATTGTAACAGAACTAGTACTGGTGTTGAAGATATTAAAAGACTCAGTACATTTGTTTTCTTAAACTGTATATCATTACGTGTAGAGCATGAAGGTAAATTTAAATTAATCTATAAATAGCGAATTTATTTATTCGAAACATTACTCAAAGTATCAACTAAAATGTTTACATCTTTGAGTGACTACGTAGTCGTCAATTATTTTTCATTTTTGTTCTTTATTATCACTTTATTTTACCGGTTAATATTGTCATCCATATGTCGTTATATAATACGTAATTGCAAAGAAATGATAATCATATTTTCTTATAATTACTACTGCGACTGCGTGCGACTACTACTGCTACTGCTACTACTACTACTATTACTACTACTACTACTACTACTACCACTACTAATAAAAACCCGCTTTTTCGGGATGTTAAATCAATCTTATAAGCAGCACACTACTGTTTTAATTACCTGCCTGAAACAGTGTATTTTATGTTACGAAATAAATTTATATCGCCTCATAAGGAACTGTTACATGTTTAAAATTCTTGAAGTAAATACATTTATGCTTACACAGCAACAAAACGGATGCAAGTCCAGGCGAAGACAGTTTTATAAGCTGGAATTATTTCTTTTCAATACACGGAATACAGTTACGTGATACGGAGAGTCTGTTGTTGACTTAAAAAGTGCTTATATTTTAATGGCTAATCTATATAAAATCCTTGCTGAACATGAACATAACTTGTGCGTCTGGACTATCAATAATTTTTTTTGGCATTATCATTAATGAAGGCGTTTTGCTTTATACGGCCATTGACAACTAAACGCGTTTTTCTAATTTTTTGTTGCATTTGTATAGCTTTAATACTTCAAATGGGACATGAATTTGCAATTTCGCATGATGATGAAAATTTTATCGTGTCGTCGGGGCGTTAGCTGAGTTCTAATTGCGTTCTTGTGGCATTTTTGGTTGCAACTGTCTGCAGTCTTGCACAGTTCATTTAATGCATTATAGGGATTTCTTGTCAATCAGACTTTAGTCTATAATCTTTGGGGTACAATCACCAAATATGGAAGGGAAAAACATTGTTCTCCTTAATTTTTAAATTAAATAAAATCTTCTTTATGTTGTTAACACTGTCAAAGTGTCAAATGTCAATTTGAAAGTTGAAATTAGTCTCTCAGCTATTTTAAAATACTGGTTGTACATATGACAATCATTGTAACTTGAATCTTTCATACACACTTTTTATATCAATTTATTTATATTGTATAAGCAAACTTGAAATTTCTCTAGTAATGTACGAGTATCGCATACCTGGAACGCTAGTTTTATGTTTACTACCCCTCCTTTTGATAGCAAGTGGTTTGCTCACGGAATTCTTGTTCATATCACTTTCGACTTTGTTAGTTTCTTCCAAAATTGCTACACGCTCCTTTACATCTTTGAATGCATCCTTTGCACACTGTGATAACATCTAAAGTTTATACATAAATATCCATTGAATGGCATAAATGATACATGTAAAAGTAATTTAGATATGTAATCATTATAACAATCATAATAGATAACAGATTAGAAGTCTTACTAATAGTTATTCAAAGAGTGATTTTTTGCAGATAAACGGATTGATTTGCAAGTTAACGAGTCAATATTTGGAATAGACTGTAAACTCATTTACCACTAATGAATACGAGCCTTTTTCATATCAATGACAGTACTAAACACATGTATCTCAAGTGCCCAAAAATAAAAATTATTTTTTCTTAGTTAAATCGAATACATTTGACACGTTACCTGTGAGTATTTCAAAACGTTTTCAATTCGTTCTATTATTTCTCTGAACTTCTGTGAATCTGTAACATCTCCGTGTCCGTAATCACTGGTATTTTTGGTTTTATGTTCTAAATAAAAACTACCATATATTAAATCTTTGAAATAAATATTTCAGTTATATTTAATGGGTTGCAATCTAAGTCAGTCGCAGAATAATTATATTGTTTACCTTCTCTCCAGCGATTTTATTCTCCGTGGTTTGGTGCATATGTCGTGATACAAAGTACATTGATTGACTAGCTGTTAAAATAAACCTTTTACAACCATTGTTAAAATATAAACATTTAATATCTGATATTTCATCATCTCGAAAGGTTTATGTTGCTGCCGCTTCTGCAGGGGAATAAGTTTTATTCTAGGGGGCGTGGACGGTAGTTTGCACTTGACAGTACCGTCCATGAACAGGCTCAATCAAACCGAGCCTGCAACATTTTCAATTTTGCCGCGTTGGGCTTTCTTTAGGGATTCTTATTTCACTCTATTTTATGAGGCAGTTTCGGAGTGTGTATTGGTATAAGAGGAGTAAATCGATGTTTTTCTAAAGCTGGCTTAAATTTTGTGTAGTATTTCAAATCAATCTGAATTCTGATTTGATTTGAGGTCCGTTAGTCGAGTTATATTAGGTTAACTTTCGTTTTCATCTTGTATATACATGTATTTTATAGTTTCTTTAATCAAAATGTCTGCCGATATAAGTTGTTTTATGGTTTTATCTTGTTTTGTGCTGTCCATTGAATGATGTGAGGTAAATTTTTCAATTCAACATTCAGTGTATGATTTACAATTCTTTTCGTATTGTTGCAGCATATTTTGACTTTGACCTCTTCATTTGTAAGGCATATTGTTTCATGGCGAAAATGATGTCTGATGAAATTTTGCGCTGAATTTTATTAAAAAGTTATTGATTAACATTGTTATACGCTACCACTAGAAAAGAAGTGCGTTATAAAAATTATTTCTTATTGACATATGACTTTTACGCACGGATAGTAATCAAATAACCTTAATTTTTACCTTGTAATATATCCAAAAGACTTCTTATCTCTGATAATTTGTCATTGTAACTGTTTAATCTATCATCATGCTGAGTGACACTTTTCTATAAGACAAAGTTAGACGTTGGTGCAAGTTTTAATCATTCAATTATAAAAAAGCAATATCAAGTAACTAAATATTTCGTTCGTTTATTATAAAATAAATTCCTATTTAACATGAAGCTCATCATAATATTTACAGTTGTTTTCCTTAAACGTCACGCACACAGATACCATTTAAAAAGAAGAAGTTAACGTAAACCTATAAACCATACTATGTAATTTTATAGCTTACAAACAAGAGCGAGCCGGTTGATGCTCCCCGAAAAGTTTTCGGACACAGAGAAGTAGTATCGTGTTGATATATCTTGTAGTGGTAGAGTTAATGTCCCAGAAAAAGTTCACAGAGTGAAAATAAATAAAGAAAATTGCACTCCAAAATTAGGCAACGCAGGGTTATAGTTGTGCATATAAGTTGCACTTCTATTTAATTAGATTTATCTACCTACATTGTTTCTTGTTGATATCTCTTGTAGTGTGAGAATTATGTACCGGACAAACTTCAAAGTGTAGAAATGAAAAAGGGCAATTATTCAAGAATCAAGCAAGTAGGAGTTCGGGCTATTATGCACTTCTACTTAATGACATTTATCTACCTATTGATTTTCTCGATGATATTTCTTGTTGTTTAAGAGTTCTTTCACGGAAGTGTACAAATGAAAAAGGTAATAACTCAAAAACTAGGCAAGGCAGAGTTACGGTATTTTGAAATACACTCCAACTCAATAAGATATATATACCTACAAAGTTTCTTATTGATACCTGAAGTAGTTTCTCGAGTCGAGTTATGTTCTCGACAAACTTCAAAGTGTAAAAATGAGCAAAGAGCAATAACTCAAAAATTAGACGAGGCAGAGTTACAGTTCTTTTGCACTGCACATCAAGTCAATGATATCTATCTACTTACAAATTTTCTCGTTGATAATTATTGTAGTTTAAGAGTTATATTCAGCACAAACTTCAAAGTGTAAAAATAACCAAGGTCAATAACAGTTATGCCAGGCAATGTTACGGTTTTATTTGCACTTAACTTCTACTATATGAGATCTATCTACCTAACAAATTTCTTGATGATACCTCTTGTAGTTTCATAGACATGTCCCGGATAAGGACAGGAGATTACGGAGAAAACGACGACTATATGCTCTCCCTTTGGGGAGGAGCATAAGAATGATACAAAAATATTTGCCATAAATTTAGGTTATACTTAATTTATGATAGGAAAGAGACACACTTTTAGATCTACAAGGCATCTTTGTCTCTTTGTGAAAATTGCTTCTTCTGTTATATTTTCTTGCTCAAGCTCTTCATTCCCGTCACTATTTGATTTCTTTTTCCTCCAGCTCGATCTTTTAGAATTTCTTCTGGTTAAATGTGGCACTGTTCCCTTTGAATTACCGGTGCCCATTCTAATAAATATAAAAATCAAAACAAAACAAAATAATATTACAATATTTTGAAGTATTGGTTTGTTGATTAAAATGATTTTAAAATCTTAATAAATGTTCATGTCCTTGCTTACTTAGGTAGCAAGCAATTTTCATACGTTTTGTATTTAACAAGTTCGTATCGCATGTAAACTTTTACAAAACTACATTTATTTTTGTTTGTTTGTTTGTTTGGATTTTTACGGCACGTCAACACATAGTTGGTCATATCGTGCCGAATGCTATAATAGGCTTAAAATGTTATGCAAAACTTCGTAAATGACAATAAAAATGAGCCAATTAGATCCAAGAATACAAGTTTATCTCTTTCAAATAATCAATGTGTTTTTTGATGGAATTGTTTTAAAGAGTTCTTTGAGTGAATTTACACAATAAAATCTATTTCGGGCCTGTGAAAAATTATGACATTCAAAAAGAAAATGCTTGACAGTAAAATTTTCATTACAAGCTGCACAGAAAGGGGCATTGTCATTTGTGAGGAGATAAGAGTGGGTAATTTTAGTGTTTCTAATTCGGCATCGAAGAAGAACTGTTTGATCATGGCGGTTTGACAGAGATAGAGATGGTGACACATCAAGAGATTGGTTTATATCGTGAAGTTTATTAAAAACGGCATTGTCCCAATTTGCTTGCCATTCAGATGATACGAGTTTATTTATAGCCGGTCTAAAATCACAAGCAGGTAACAATAAGTCAGTTTTTGAAAATATAATGATTGTTTAGCTAAAGCATCTAGTTTTTCTTTTGCTCGTATACCTACATGACTTGGAATCCAGTATAGTTTAACAGATTTTGTTTTAAGTATATCATGAAATCGTAAAAGAAGTTTCCTTATCATGATATTGTCAGATTTTTAATGGATATTAAAACAGAAAGCGAGTCAGAAAATATCACAAATTTATCATGGGTATGCTGTACTATGTATGACAATGCTAAATCTATAGCTTTTGCTTCAGCAGTAAAAATTGATGCATTATCTGGTAACCTCATACTAGATGTAAAATTATTTTCAAACACAGCTGCACCTACTTTGCAACCTTCTTTCGAACCGTCTGTATAAATATGTATAAAATCTTCATGTTCTTCCTTAATTGCTAGAAACTTCTCTTTGTTCAGGTGAATTTGATGACTTTTTATATTTGAAAGGTTAATATTTATTTCGGGGAATTATTTTGAAGGATATTGTCTGGATTAACTTTAAGTTTATCTAAATCATCTTTTAAACGAAGGCCTAATGGTTTAATTTTCTTTGGTTTGTTAACAAATTTTTCAGTATAACTTGGTTTGAAAGTAATATTTTTAGCTGTATTTTTGCTATTTGAAATTCTAGTTGCATATTGAAGTGATAGCTTTTTTCGACGAAGATGAAGCGATAGTTCCCCAGCTTCCGCATATAGACTTTCTACAGGTCAGGTGCGAAAAGCACCTAAAGCTAAATGTAAACCCTGGTGATGTATGTTATCTAGCATTTGAAGATATGATTTTCTTGCATATACTACAGAACCATAGTCTAATTTTGATCGGATAAGACTTCTGTATAATTTCAGTAATGTGGAAGAATTTGATCCCCAATTTGTACTTGATAAAACCTTTAGTAAGTTAAAAGCTTTTAGGCATTTATTTTTTAAATGTTTAATATGTGGTATAAAAGAAAGTTTTTCATCAAAAATAATTCCTAAAACTTAGCTTCATCAGCTACTGGAATTTTAGAACCAGATATGTAAAGTTCAGGGTCATTATGGGGTGGTGTTTCCGCAATCGACAAAAATGAACACATTGAGATTTTTACTTTGAAAATCTAAAACCATTTTCTATTGCCCACTTTTGAATTTTATCTAAATGTTGTTGAAGTTGCCTTTCAATTCTTCTCATACTTCTCGATCGATAGCAGATAAGAAAATCGTCTACATATAGAGAACAATCTATGCCTGGTGTAAGAGTGCTAGCAATATTGTTTATTTTAAGGCCAAAAAGTGTAACAGAAAGTATGATTCCTTGAGGAACACCTTGTTCTTGTTGGTGGTCCTCGCGTTTAGAACATCTCAATTGAATACGTTACAAAAGAATATATAAAATATTGAATTTGTTAAAAAGGGAATAAAATTTTATTATGCGTCAATCTGTGAGCATGATATATTCAACAATTTTAATAAATACAGCATTGAACGTACATGAACATAATATTCAATTTATCACATACCTTAAATAAAAAACTGTTTTAATAGAAAATAATCCCTTTTCATTGACTCGCTTATAGCGTAACGCTTACATTTAGCGCGTCTTTACACTCTGTTTGTATAACGCAAATGTTATCACGTCAAAATATATGCACGGCAGTGCAATACCTTTTTTCAGAATTGTAAAAGCGAAACGAAACTGTGATGTCACTAAGCCTAGGAACACGGTAATTTTTTCTAGGGTTTGCTTTTAGAATTTTGCTATTAGTCTGTTGACAGTGCCTAGATACACCCCACATTTCTCTTTATGAGGGATGATTCACCAACGTTGTCATATAACGAACTTCATGTTCGACGTCAGCAGTTGCTGCTGTGCGATATTTGGTAAAAGAACCACTTTTACCTGTTTGTGTATTTTAATTGTACAACACCTTTACCATGTTCAATGCGATGCACAGTAACAGCAGAAACATTATGTCACATCTGTTTTACTTGTTTCACAATGTTTCTGTAGGACATTGTTTCTTTAACAGTCCTAAATACTTCACTCAACTATGTCATTTATGTTTGGTATTATCATATTTTATTTATTTTTAGTTCAAATGCGACGTGTATATGTACGATACACCATTTTACATAAGTTAATCGATTTGAATGAGTTTTAATAAGTTATAAGATCTTATAACGTGTTTTCCTTACATAGTAAAATCAAAATACTTTCTTACTCAGTATAATGTCCTTTATTCCTAGTAATCCTGGAAGTTTATAGGTATTTCGTTGAACGCATTAGAAAAATGTTTATATTTCCTACATGACAACTATCAGATAAAACTTATCAAAACAGTTTTTACGACTGTCTGATCAATATCTTATCTGTATTTAATTTTTTGTAACAAATTTACTTTGTGGTATAGTTCGATTTATTTGCTTATAACCAATATTTATGAAGGAGAAAAAACACATTCCTATAAAACCAGGCAGGTGTGTCATTGAATCATAAATTTACTGATAAGAGCAATATCTCAAAAAGTTTTGCGCAAATCTTCAATTTTGTAAAAATATATATGAAGAAATAATAAATTTTAATAGATAACAAATTAATACGAATATAGCATTTCCATTTAAAAGACACTTAATAGTGATATCTGGATTTGTGACTGGAACTTATAAAGGTACTATATCATTCACTTACTGACTTTTTAGTTTTCCCTTTAAAATTTAGAATAATTGCAATTTCTCCCTTGTTTAGAATTACAGTTTCTCATTTTTATTTCATAAATGGGAAAATAAATAAAACTATCAGCAGCCTTACTGCTTTTTTATTTTCCCAGCAGACTTTCTGCTTGATGATAATATAATATATTTAAACTTTAATTAAAAGTTAATAAAAATGATGCATTTTTACAGTGAATCGGAATAATGTTTATGATAATAAATTACTTGGACGGGCATTATTTTTGAAATGTGAAATTTAAGATTTTCAAAGGTATCAAGACAAGAAATGCACCTTAACATATACTTATTTTTCTTTTTAGCGATTCTCTTAATGTGTAACAAATAATAAACATAATAAGTTATCTATATCTAATATATAATAATAGATATTTAATATATAATAATAAGAGTATACAATGTAATACGAATTTTACAGTTAATATTTTTGAAAGGTCTATATATTTGATTCAACAAAATTATTAGATAAATAATATTTAAAACCAAATACATTTATTTGTTGAATTAGACATAGCAATTTCTTATCAATAACCTCCAGTTCTAGTTTTATACGGTCGATAATATACAATTATTGACTAGTAAGCCATTTATTCACCGGCAGATGACATATTGACCGAGGCGATAGCCGAGGTCAATATGACTTTCTGCCGGTAAATATCACATCATTTACAATGGCTCATTAGTCAAATTGTTTTATTATATGGATAGGCTTATAAATAAAAAAATCACAAAAAGTACAACCTTATATTCATGTACAAATTTTGCTTCCTCGAAGCACGGGAAAGAAGACGCACGTGTTAGGCGTGCAACGACTAAGCGAACGCTGCGCATACAAAAATAATTTAAGTTTATACTCATCATTGCGGTGTAGCCTTTAAATATAATAGTAAGTAATGATATTTTAATCGAGAAATATGCCATAAAGAACAAAAAGCAACAATGATTTTTAATTAAAACGCGTAATAAACAGTCTACGGTGTATGATCATTGAATATGAGTCTCAATCTATTTTTAGACTGGGAAAATCCAATTCAGCCAGTGAATATGATACTAAACCCAGTGAATATGATTTTGTAAAAAGTTATGTTGACTACTGTTTTGACCAATGAGATTGCAGCTATATTGAGATCATATAATAAAATTGTATGTAAACTGATAATGTCGACTTGAACATTTGAAGTTGCGTAAAAGCTCAGATGATATTGACAAATTAATATGTTTATTCCAATCCTCGCCATATGCTTACACGTGTAGTTCAGTATATTTTAGTATATACTTTTTTATTTTAGTCTCATCAGTGTACAATTACATATATTGCAACATAAAAGAAAAACATTACATTGTACAAAGCCATTCTTTAAGTAGAATTACGAGAAACTTAAGATATTTTACAATTAAAACTATATTATGTTATGTTATGGGTATATGTATGTGTATATATAAAATATATACACATATACATGTATATGCAAATACAGTACACATTAAAAAAGTGCATATTAAAACACCACATAATATTTACTGTAAAATCTGCCAATAGCAACACCTTTAATAAAAGCTCACTATTAAGAGGTAAAACTGTAGGTTTTCATAAAAAAGTGTGCATCTTTATCATATTATTTCTTTGATTATGGAGTGGACTAATTAGCAGAATTTACCTTGTTAATACAGAATGCAACTGAATATGGGTTAAAACATGGCAGGTCATATTTAAACTGATATAAAATACAGTCCAATTTTGTTAAGAGATAAAATATGTCATAACAAGTCAGTTTGTAAAGACAATTATTACAATAGTTATACATACAAACATCCGACTTTCACTAAAAGGTAAAAAAAACTTTTAAAAGTTTATCAATTTTTTTTTAATTTGACTGGAGACATACCAATAATTTTAAGTCTATATTGTGTTTACATTTCTACTTTACAAAGTGTTATTTCGAAGTTTCAATATATTACAGCAGGTTTTTGTTTATGTACGTTTCATTTCTGGGTGGGTCAGTGATTCAGTATTTTTTTTATTTCACTTCAAAACTTCTTTCGTGCCCATTTCCATAGATCATTGTCTCCATTTCAATTTATTGTCATACAGTAAAATAATGTCACCGACATGCAAATTCGAATATTTCTTCTGCCATTTGGATCGGTGTATAATAATGGAACCGTGTCCTCAAATAGATAAGCAATATATTTAATCTGTTTCCACCAACATTTTACATGATTGTCTTTTCGCTTAAGCATTCCCCTTGCAATACTTCTGTTTAATTTCAAAAGCAATGACATATTTGAAGTTAAGACATTGTTGTCACAGACCGGCGGTATCAGTCTGTCGTTGAGAATTTTATCGGTGTCTATAATTAAAGTAAGTAATTAATTCACCTGTAAGAATTTTATTTTCAGAATATTTAATGAAGAATAAATCAGTGTCTCCCATGCTTCTTCTTGATGGCTTGCTTTTGGAAAACAAATGTTTAAATCAATATCTGTTTTGGTCATACACTTACTAATTTTTGCATTTTTCATTCGTATGTGACGATAAACACATCGCTGTTCATTTCTTTCGAGTATCATCTACTAGCCGTAAAGCGCAGATATGCTGCGATGAGAGAATCAGTTGTCAATTTATGTATAACTCCAAGACGTATCGCTTTTGTTGCAAGGTACGTAAAAATACGAATATATCTCTTCGTATGCGTACGTACTGACTTAATAAGCAAGTCGAATGAAGTAATAAGGTCTTATGTTCTTCTCAAAAAAGAGAGAGGTATGTTGAGTCATCGAAATTTATTGATCTGCATATAATTAAATTCTTCTCAGTATTTTCCACAGAAACGGGTCGTCGAAGGGTCTTATAATTCGGGCTTCCATTCATATGTCGTACTATCCTTTTCTACGGTATGCTTCCAATATATCATCACTCGATATTTCTCGGGATGTGAGATGGTAGTCAAACCTTTTCTATAAAACACGTAGTCATTCAACAAAATAATTGACTCAATGAAACAATACTGCTGTCCTTTTGACCAGGTAAGATAGAGAAAATAAGAATCCCTAAAGAAAGTCCAAAACAACAAAATTGAAAATGCTGCAGACTCGGTTTGATTGTAACCGTTAATGAAGGTGTTGTAAAGTGTATTTTACCGTCCGCGCTCCCTTGCACCGGCTTGAGCAGAATTCAACAATTAAACATGAAAATTGTGAACATTCAAATTAAGAAACATCCGCAGATGTGTCCATACGGCGGTTATCATGGAACCTTCAATGTGACATGTAAGTACCATTCCATTAAAAGCAAGTAATAGAAAGCGTGTGCCCTTAATGAGAAAACAATGGGCGGAACGAAACAAATTGGAATTTTAAAAGCGGATCGGAGGTTTTGAAGTCTGTATATCACAGATAGGACGTCAAAAGACAAGGTTAAAAAGCAGGCAACATATCCTAAGGGTGATTCAAAATTATTCAAGCAGGAATATTGGAACCGTCCAACTAGAAAATTGCCATATAGTAAGAACTTTTGTAGATTGTCGATTTCACTAGGAAATGTTGTTTCTGTATAAACGACAGGTTGCGTCTTGTTGTATTTTTCTCTTCTAAATCCATGTTCCCTTATTTTAGATTTCGTCGCCTGCAGAATTTATTGTATCTTAGCGTCCTTCCATCTGTTGTTTGCAATCTTCTTCAAGCTTTCATAGCGCAGGGCTGGGAATCAAAACTGCGCCGTATCCTTCAAAATGTAAACAAACGCCGCCATTTTGGAACGAAAAACGTATGTTTTTGTTTATAACTCTTTTTGTTGGAAATGACTGAAAAACAGATATATGTATTAACACGCTACACTATTTTCCGCTTCGTTCGGTATATGTTGCTTGCACAACTATTTTGTAAAACAAAGGTTATAGCGAAATTACAACTCGAAGCGGAGCAGAATTTTTATGAAAATGTGTGGATACGACGCAGTTCATGTTGCTTTATCCATCGTTTTTTCCTTCAAATAAATTGTATACTCATTTCAGAGTTTACAATTAACTTCGAAATATGATGTTGCATCATGTACTAAAATTTCATTAGAAAGAGATGTTTATTTTTTAAGGAAATAATGATTTTTACGAAATGATACGACGCAGTTGAAAATAAAATATGATACGACGCAGTTGTATTTTTTGCAGTCTTTTCAACAGGGATAATTTTGGCAATATAATGTCTATTTTATGGAATAATCACTTGCGCTAGATAAAAAACCTAGATTATTTGCGGTGTATAGCGATGTTCTGTTGCTTTTGGTTATTTAGAATACATTGTGTCATGCCCAATATAACATTTAATTTGAAAGTTTACACTGCGGAAGCTACTTTACAGTTAAACATGAACATGTTACTTAATTTATCATAATTTTTGAAATAATTTCTTATATTTTCCTGTATGCTCAATATTATCCCTATTTTTTGGCAAAAAATATAGAAGTCTATGAAGGCTAGCTACGCTCTAAGTGAACTTTGGTTCTGCATGTTCTGGGTAATGACTGATTTTTTAGGTTTGTTTTCAAACTTCCGCTTTACTGGGGGCGAAGAAATCAGGTGCGCCTGTGTGCATTATTTTAGCCTGCAGAGAACGATCGACATTTTGAAACTACATGTAGCTTGATAGGTTTTCACACGAAAGAATCAAAAGTCCCTTGTGGTTTTCGAATTCATAGCAGTTCAGTTCAAGTGATTTGAATTCAGTAAACATAAACAGCTCACCTTCGGTCGAACACCTGTCTGATTTTTTTCAACAATTTGTTAACGTCAGCTGTACAAATAAGCAGTTTTAGTGTTGTTTTTTTAACTTCTGGCGTGAAGTTTTAAGATTATAGATATTTAAATTAATTATAAAGACAATACAATTCTAACTTTCTTATTGAAATGAAATATTTCCTTAATCTCTAAGATTATTTTACTTT